CACACACACACACACATCACTTGGCCCCCTGTTCGAGGTCCCTCCTCCCTGGTCCACCCAGTCCTGAGAGAGCCAGGCCCAGAGCAAGCCTCAGAAATGCCAGTCCAGAGAGTGAGCCTGTCGCCGCCCCTGTCTTTACCCAAACTGCACTTGGGGCCTACCTTCCTACTCTCATTCCTGAGTTGGGGCCTCGGCTCGGGCACGGGGCTCCATCCACAGGAGCGTGGGGAGCCCTCCTGAGTGTGTTTACCATTCTCTCCCTCTGTCTGGGCTGGCGCAGCCCCGCCCCTGACGGTGCCTGGAACGACGGTCAGCTCCAGGAGATGGCGCTCCTGCGCATCAAGCACCAGGAGGAGCTGACGGAGCTGCACAAGAAGCGCGGGGAGGTACGAAGACCCAGGGGCTTGCGGTGCATGGCCACTGCTGGCCCAGCTAACTGGCATCTTCTCAGGGTGGAGCCTGGGGGCCGGACAGAGGAAGCCCTTGGCCTGCCCGCATGGCAGCACCAATCCTTGTGCCCACGGGTGGCACCTCAGAGGGGGGGACTTTGAGGGACACCATGGACTGGGGCTCATGGGTCCCCTGGCTTCAAGCCGCTCTGTGAGCCCTGCCTCGGGCTTCGGGGGAAATCCCTCAGACTCCAGGCTGTGCTCATGCCGGTGTGCAGGCAGCATGCCTCTTAGACAGAAACCCAAACTGCTACTGTACTGCTGGCCAGCTGCAGCCACAGGCCCCTCCCTGCGTCTTCGTGATGGAATCCTGCCCGCTGCCCCCGCTGGGTCCAGCTCACAGCCACCCTCGAGGTAGACCCAGCCCTACCCCCAGGCTTGCCAGTCTGGAGCTCTGTAAGAAGAAGCCTGCCGCAGCTTTCTTCCTGGGAGCTGCTGGTGGGTTGAACCTGCAGACCCCGCATTGAGCAGTCGAGCACTTAGCCGGGGCGCCCCCAAGGGCTCCCTTGGGAAAGCACTAGCCCCCGCTCTTCCTTCTTCCTCTGAGTGTGCACTCTGTCCCCAGCTGGCCCAGTTGGTGATTGACCTGAATAACCAGATGCAGCAGAAGGACCGCGAGATGCAGGCCAACGAGGCCAGGTGAGGGACGGGGCGGGGGCAGAGGACCTGCTCAAGGGCTCTCGTACTATTCACAGAGGGCTGGGGAAATGGGCAGTGATCCCGGCGGCACCCAAGCCCCTTCTGCCCAGAGGAACCTCTCCTGGCTTCTCCATCACCACCACAATGTCCGTCAGGGGTCCTGGCTGTCGCCTGCGTTGTGCCTCTGGGCGGGGTAGGCCTTTTCTCGGCCCACTTGGTATACTTTCATCGGTATTGTCAAGATACGATATGGTTTCCATTGTGTTTTGTTCTGTGAGCTATTTTGGAAAGTTGTTCTTGGGGTTCAGAAGTGACAGGTCTTTTCTGTGGGTGAGCCCAGTGTTGAGGCCATCCACAGAGGTGTGGTGTTAGCAGGGAGCATGTCGCGAGTGCCTGTGTGGGGGCACCGGTGGCCTGACCCCCTGCATCCTGCTCAGAATTGCAGAGTGCCTGCAGGCCATCTCTGACCTGGAGGCAGAGTGCATGGACCTGCGCGGTCAGCTGCAGGACCTGGAGCGGGCCAACCAGACCCTGAAGGACGAGTACGACGCGCTGCAGATCACCTTCACCGCCGTGGAGGAGAAGCTGCGCAAGACCTCAGAGGAGAACCAGGAGCTGGTCACCCGCTGGATGGCCGAGAAGGCCCAGGAAGCCAACCGCCTCAACGCTGAGAACGAGAAGGACTCCAGGTAGGCCGCGGCCCCTCAGGGCGGTGAGCTTGTTCTCAGGGAGGAGGGGCTGCGGGCAGGCAAGCAGAGAGGGCCGCCTATCCCTGGGCCTTGGCCTTGGTGTCCCAGCTCTGGGTGGGTGCTTTACAGAAGATAGGGGTCCCAGAGGCAGAGGGGTGTGTTTGTCCATCTGCTCTGCAAACCCCTGTGGCGTTCAGACGTATCTACATGGGCGCCGGCAACATCAAGAAAGCAAGGGGAGTCAGGTGCTGGGTGCCAAGGAGGGCCATGTGAAGGGCTGCTGTCCTTCAAGCCCAGCGCCCAGAAAGCTAGTAGCCAGGCAGGCACCTTGGCAACAATGAATGGCCTTGGGCTGAGATCCTGTCCCATACTCCAGAATGTATGTGACCTGGAGGTCCCACAGGGCACCCACCCAGGGAATCCAGTCGGAATATCGGGCTGCAGTTCAGGGGGCCACCCTGAGGGCAGAGGGGGTGCTTTCCACGTCCAGGGCTCACCCAGCATAAGAACAAGGCCATACTCCAAAGGAGAGAGCGGGCCTCCTGAAGGGGGCGGGCACACGGTGGCTCCTAGAGGGCGGCGGGCTGGAACCACAGCCGAGACTGCCATGGCCAGGACTGCTCTGCCGCATGTGGGCTGCCGTCAAGTCCATGCCAGCTCACCGCGGCCTGAGCTGCCAGAGTGCCCGACCTTTGACGCTGTGGAGCTGCTGAGCCCGGCAGCTCCTTTTTCTATGCAAAGCGGAGCTGGGTATGTCCTGCCCCAAAGGGTGCCTGTCGTGATTTAACAAGTTAGAATCCCTGCCAGGCTGGAGCTCATCCTTAAATGGTCTCACCTCTTACTGCTGGTACTTTGCACGGGGAGGGGGTGGTGTCAGCCTAGGGCATCTTCCCGCCAACGTCACAGCTGTGAGCATGCACCACTGTCGTACGGGTACTTGCTGTCTCCTCCACCGGCAGGCCTCACCCCAGTGAGTCCCCTGTGCCCTCTGTAACGTAACCTTTCTCCTGGACCTCAGCTGCAGCCCTTGCCAGTGGTCAGCTGGGCTGGCGGTCTGTGCCTCTGGAAGGCACTGGATTTCATGAGGCCCCGTGCCCGCATGCTCCTAGTGAGCACTTGCATTTTCTCCGCAGGAGGCGGCAAGCCCGGCTGCAGAAAGAGCTGGCGGAAGCGGCCAAGGAGCCTCTGCCTGTGGAACAGTAAGTGGGTGGGCGGGACCCTGCACCTCACCCCATGGGCCCCTCGAACCTTTCCCTCATAGCTTCTTGTCTGCTTTGAGTTTTTGGTTGACGTCTTGTGCCTTCAGACCTGGAAGGCGTGCTGAGAACCTGGGGGATTTGGCTTTTGAGGAAACCAATCAGGTGTGGCTAGAACTGAGCACGCGTGCCCCAGCACTCTGGTGGTGGCTCGGTTGGGAGAGGCTGTGCCTTCAGACCCACACTGGACTGCACACAGCTGGGATGGCGGCTTCTCGGGAGCCTGAGAGGATGGAGGTGGAGGTGGTCAGCATATGAGGGGGTTCAGATGTTTGTGGGAAAGCCCTGTTCACCTTCAATTCCATTTCCCTGTGAGCTTGTGGAAGCCCCTTAGTGTGTCCTACAGCGCACCAGTTTGTTGAAGGTTGTGGGGTACCCTTCTCCCTCACCGTTGGGGAAAGTACTCAGGTTCCACACCGGAGTTCCAGACCGGCTGTTTTCTTGTTGACCCTGGCTCCCCTGGATTCTGCTCCCACGGAAGCCTGGGCCACAGGTCTTCCCCTGGCTCGGGGTTGGTGAGCTTAAGTACCGGGAAAGGCGAATGAATGAGTGCTGGGGCCTCTCTAACAAAGGCAGCAGGGTTTGTTCTCTGGGGCTTTTGATCTGCCGGGCAGTGGGAGGCTCCCCGCTGGGGCCGCGACTCAGAGGGCCTCCTGCTCAGACTCCTTTGCACTATTCACTTCCCCACTTCCTCTTCTTCCCGCCCTTCAGTTTTTAACTTTCCTTGTGAGCTTTGTCGCAGGCAGGCTGCCCTTTGACCTCTTGAAAGTGGTCGTTCTGAGGAGTAGGTGCCTCTCTGGTGTCCCTGCTAGGGAGTCACAGGGTGAATTCCGTTCAGGGCCTGAAGGGTGTCAGTGGGCCATCATCTTGGGGTCCTACTAGTTCATCAGACCAGTGGGCCTGGTTGCTGTTAGGATCTTAGTTTTGTCTACGTTGCTCGCACGCCCCGCCCCCCAGGACTCGGCTCTGAGCCCTTTCAGTATGGTCAGTGGGGGTGGGGCACCATGCAGTTCACCTGGGCCTCAGCCTCACGGGGCGGCGTGGACATGTGGACCCATTGTCCCCATTTATCTTTGATTTTCTTTAGTTGGTTATGCTTTGGGTAGCCTGGAGGCTTTTTTCTTTTTAAGATCATTTTGTTGGGGGCTCATATCTTATGACAATCTATACATCAATTATATCAAGCATATTTGTACATGTTGCCATCATTATTTTCTAAACATTTACTTTCTATTTGAGCCGTCGTTATCAGCCCTCCCCCCCTTCCACCCCCATGAGCCCTTGATAAATAATAAATTTGATTGTTTTCATTATCTTACACTGACCTCCGTCTCCCTTCCTCCATGGTTTCTGTTGTGTGTACCACCCGACCCTTGAGGCTTTTTGAGGATGGTATTTTATCAGGCTCCATTATGTTCAAGATACGTACCTTTTCTACTGGACTAATTTGTCATTTCCGATCCTGTGTCCAACACCGCTGCAGCCTAGCCCATCTCAGTGAGGGTCCTCCTCTTTCTCGCTGACCCTCCACTGAGCATGAGGACAGAGAGCTCAAGCCCGCTGCCAGGAAATCCCTTCTAGGTGACAGAGCCTCTGTGTAGCGTTTCCGGGGAGCAGGCTGCCTCCTCTCTCTCCCGTGGGCTTGAACCCACAGCCCTGCAGGCAGTCTGTGGTATGCTCCGTGTTCCTCACCACCATTACGATTCACGGCTTTCAGACGTCTCCATTGTTTCCTCTCACACAGAGAGGAGCAGTTGACAATTCGGCTCGGGTCACCCACCGGCCAGGGCTTTGTAAAATGAAAGCACATCCTTGCAGCAAACCTGGGCTGGACTGGGGCTGGGGAGGTTGGGGGGTAGATTCTCTGGCCTGGCGCTGAGCTGGGAAGCCAACCCAGGCCACGCTCTTACCCTGTGGTACCTGACAGTTCCAGAGTGGGGCCTTGCAGGGTCAAAGGGCTTGGGTGTCTGAGACAGACTGCCAGCTCCTGGTCTGTCTAAGGCCCTGGCCTTTGCAGAGTTCAAGTGCCTTTAGGACAATGTGGTTCTGCCTCAAGCAGCCACTTCCCGAAACACCGCTCCTATTTTCTCTCACCACTGCCCCCGCAGGGCGCCCAGCCCGCTCCTCAGCCCCAGCCTGTGCTCCCCTCTCTCGTGGTGTCCTCCTGGAGTAAAGGGCCCAGGGAAAGCCGCATGAAGTGGCTTTGTCCAGGCTCACGGGCCCTGGTCCAGAGCACTAGCTTTGGGCACAGCTGGAGAGCTCTCCAACGCAGCTCCGGGGAGATGGCTCAGTTCTGAGCTCTCGATTACTGATGGGCTCCCCCTGCCCAGGGGGAGGGATGCCCAGGGACGCTACTGGGAGGAAGGAGTGCAGAGGGACCCGAGAAGCAGCCTGCCTCTCTCTGGGCTGGATGAACCCCAGCTAATGGGGGG